ACTATGTTGTTAAATACAATAGATTTTAACTACAAAATCCAACTAATATTTATTTAGTTACCCGCTATTAATTTTTTAAGATCAGTAAAAACATAAAATATCTCAAGCAATTTGAGCAAAACCAATGTCATTAAACTGTTTTTATGAGTTGTTTACACTCAAAAAACTTAGCCGCAAAAGTCTTTACTCAGTTTTGTACTATCACACCAATTACTCTATGACATAATTTTAATTAAGTTTTAACTATAAATTTTACTAGGTATCATTAACCCATTGACACTTTAAAAACGCTTAAATACTTTTATTAGCTTTGAGCTAGTACTAAACTTAAAAGTTAATCTGCCATTTCTCGCCAATTAGTTTTATATGTGTAAGCTTTTTTGAAAATATGTGGCAATATTTTTAATGACTTTGACTTTGTGCCTCTAATTAAATCATTTATAAGCAGAACTTCGTTTATTAGCTACAAAGGGGAAGAAATGTGCAAGCTGTGGCGGAATTTGTATTTTTTTCAAATGTTTCTTTGTATTTCATTACTTAGAAATATTTCCTTAATTTTGCACACATTTTTTAATTTTTTTAAAGAATACCACTGTTTTGAATTGAATAAAAGGACCAGAAATTTAAGAAAAATGAAGCCATAACACAGGGACAGCCTTTATTGGAAAAGTACGGGGAGTAAGGGGGACATTAGCGTGGGAGCTAACTGTAGCTGATGTGCTGCTCCTCGTGGGTGTTGAACTGGGTGCGGGCTGCGTACAGTAGGGCCGCCATAAAGGCGCCGTTGTTCATCACCAGCGACAGGATGGTGGCCATTTTGAGGGCCGGCAGGATGAAGGGCAGCAGACTGCCGAGCAGGACGACGGGGAAGATTAGCATGGGCACTGCCACCTGCATCATGGTCACCTTGTACGAGTTCTTCTTCTTGCGCTTGCCCAGCAGTCCCCCGCCTCCGCCCTCTCCCCCAGCCACGCCCCCTACGCCCCCCAATGCACCCTGCTGCTTGGAATCGCCCTCCGCTTCCGGTTCGTAGTTCTCCACACTTCCGCTACTGGCACCTCCGCCGCCAATCGACGGCAGATTCATCAGGTTCAGCTCCATCTCCTCCGTTTCACGTCTGCGGGAACGGCCCATCCGCTCCGCTTTTGGAACTGAAAAGTTAGAAATATAAAGGTAGTTATGAAATCAGTAGAGGAAATCGACCAAACATTACTCATAGTGCATTTACAAAGAATTGCTTCTAAACATTATGGCCAAATAACTCAATCTGGCATTAAAAGTGTTTTTCATAGTCACGTTATACAGGTTAATTTTGGATTATTTTCATTGAACTTCGTTGTCTAAAATAAGAAGTTAGCTTTGCTTCCTGAACAACAAATATTTGGCAAGGCCATCAATAATTGAATTAAATTTATGCGTATGTATTTAGAAACCAAATGTTTAAAGTAACTTAAAGGCCATTCAAGTTGGTTTGATTGATAAATCCTAGTTAAATAAAATCAGTTTAAGCAAGCTAATTAATTTAAACAATTTGTTTTTTTAAGTAAATAAGTTTTATTATTTATGTATGTTCTCTAAAATGTAAATCATTGCATTGGTATTTTGTTGTTACTCAGAATCTTAAAATATTGTTTAATCATGGTAAAATCAATAACACAATCGAATCGACTGATTATTAATTTTTAATATTTCTTCAATTAAAATTCCTTGCATAAAATTCTTAACCATTTATTTCCGAAATGCGTGGAATATTTTAAGATGATTAAGTCCACGCTTTAAATCGATCTTGTTAAACTTGTTATGTGAAAAGTAACATAAATAACTATTATCAGAATGTGTGAAAGTAAATTAGAGGTATTCATAGAAATCAAGTAAATGAATTTTAATGTGGAAGCATATGTCTGAATATTTTCATTTTAATGAATTTGAAAAGGTTAAATTCAAAACATAAATTTCATTGCACAATAGAATTGATAAATGGGTATTAAATCAAATCACCACTAGATTATACTGTGAATTAAAATTAACTGCATGTTGAAATGGCATGATTTAAATTTTTTTAATTGTTACTTAAATGAACTTACCCTTCTTGAGCGAGAACTTCAGCTTGTTGTCCTTGCTGGGCACGATCTTCACCAGCATTCCGGACAGGAAGTGCAGCTTGAGGTCGCGGTGCTTGAAGAATCGCTGGAAGTTGACCACCAGTCGCTGGTTGAGCTCCTTCTCGGACATCTTCAGGTACTTCTTGCCCACCAGACTGCCCATCTGGGTCTCCTCGCCGAAGAACTGGTCCACGAAGTCGCGGGTCAGGTTACCGCTGTTGGGCATCTGGCGGCGCTCCTCCATCTTCTGCAGCACGTACAATTTCGTGCAGTGTAGCATGCTGAACTCGCGCAGGCACTCGTAGATCCGCATCGGAATCGACGCCCTAAAGTATGACACACTATTCGCCGCCGACTGACTGCGACCAAAGTCAGTTGGGTTCTGGTCTTCGCTGGGAGCCACTGCATCTTGGCCAAGTGATGGTTGGCAATTCAGAAGGAGACACAGGCAAAGTCCGAGCAGGACGTGTCGGGATAAGGATCTGGCTGGGAAAGCACGCATTTTCTGTTTATTATATTTTCTTTCTTTGCCAAACACAACACAACTGCACCGCAGCAATGACAGTGCAAAACTGAATGCACATCTTGGCCAAGAGCAGCTGCCATCCTAGCGTAGACTGTCTGGCCCCCGAATGCCAGTTCTTGGCCACTACTTTCCTCCAGTCGGGCCAACTGGTTTGCCATCGCGATCGCCAACGCTTGGCTGCCTCTGCCTCTTAGATTTAGTTTAGCGGGTCGCTCTTACTTGCTATTTGCAACTTGCCCCACTTGCTTGACTTATGGCCAATGCATTCGATTGTTTACAGCCAAATTTTCGGAATCCAGAGTCCCGGTGTTTGCCTCCAATCTCAGTCAGAATCAGTTCTTTCCTAGCGGCGAATCTGGAGCACCTGGCTCATATTTCAGCAGCTTTAACTGTGTCACCAGTGCGTCTGCAAGTAAAAGTAACTCACAATGTGTCCCAGGTGCTTGCTGAACATTGAACATTTTCACAACTTATATCTCAATCAAAAACTAAGAGAACTCAGGTCACTTTTGAATTATTTACAAGGCATCAATGAAAGAATTTTTTGACAGTTGAACAACCTTTCAAGAATTTAACACTTACATATAAAAACAATATAATTAAGCTATGGCGAGATTGCTAAAAATTATTCTTTCAACGAGTCTTTAAATAAAATTGTACTTTTTTAATATTTTTATACCCTTGCAGAGGGTATTATAATTTCAGTCAGAAGTTTGCAACGCAGTGAAGGAGACATCTCCGACCCTATAAAGTATATATATTCTTGATCAGCATCACTAGGCGAGTCGATCTAGCCATGTCCGTCTGTCCGTCTGTCCGTCTGTCCGTCCGTTTATATGCAAACTAGTCTCTCAGTTTTAAAGCTATCTGCATGAAACTTTCCCAAAAGTTGTCTTTCTATTGCAGGTAGTATATAAGTCGGAACGAGCCGGATCGGACGACTATAGCATATAGCTCCCATAGGAACAATCGGAAAAATAAATGAAAAAAAATTATAACTTTGCTGTTTTTTAATTTTTTGTTTAGTTCTTCGACATATAGCAATGGTTAAATATTTCAGAATTATGGTTTAAATTTCATCAAAATCGGACGACTATAGCATATAGCTCCCATAGGAACAATCGGAAAAATAATTGAAAAAAAATTATAACTTTGCTGTTTTTTAATTTTTTGTTTTGTTCTTCGACATAAAGCAATGGTTAAATATTTCAGAATTATGGTTTAAATTTCATCAAAATCGGACGACTATAGCATATAGCTCCCATAGGAACAATCGGAAAAATAAATAAAAAAAAATTATAACTTTTCTGTTTTTTAATTTTTTGTTTAGTTCTTCGACATTTAGTAATGGTTAAATATTTTCGATTTACGGTTTAAATTTCATCAAAGTCGGACGACTATATCATATAGCTCCCATAGGAACAATAAAAATATATAAAATAACTATCAAATAATTGAGCTGCAAATCATCATAGCTTCAATGTTTTTAAACTTATACGCAAGTAAATTATAATTTTAATGTTTTCAAAAATGTTTAATTCTTGCAATAGCTGCAAGGGTATATGAACTTCGGCTTGCCGAAGTTTGCTTTCTTTCTTGTTTTAGTTAACTTTACTTCATAGTAAAATATTTTTTAACTTGAGGTTTTTAAACGGGAAGATTTCTTTAAATACTTATATCAATTATTAAAATAAAAAAAAATATGTTCTTCTTAATCATAACTATTTAAATTATTTATATATTGTATTGTTTATATCTTTACAATTATTGTAAATATCTTTATACTATTTAACTCAACTTTAAATAAAAATTTTTTTTAATAATTTAAATAAATTATTTTCAAATCATTTTTCCTTCCAAGAGTATTCGTTATAAGCGTTACTTTGTTGACAGACTGCAAAAATGTAAAAATTGCTACAAAGTGGAACAATTAGAGCCGGATTCGAGATGATTGAGCGGCTAGATGGCTAGAAAATCGATATGCTTTGAATTAAGTGGCGATGGATCAAGTGAGAGTTAATTAATTAGTCTCTAACCATAATGAGGTATGAGTATAGTCGAGGAGAAATCCGGGCCCGGCCAATTATCGGCATTGGTAGTACGACTAACTGTGACCCATTTCGATTATTTTTGGAACTGGGAGTATCAATTGACTTTCTATACGTGCGACACGGCGGAAGAGCAGTTAAAAGAACCGTAAATCACGAACGCCCTCCGTCGAATTCATAATGAGATAGAAATTTCACTTTCCATGGTGGCAGCAGAAAAACGTACGCAATCCAATAAAATCAAGCGCTGGAAATTTCGATTATTGATTGATTGGGTCTGAGAGCTGAGAAAATACTTTTTTTGGTAATAAAACAAATTTTGACTGAAGGTTCTTGCATCATTTAATTGTAATAAATATGAATAAATTTAAATGTATTACATCATTTAGCCGACTAATCATCATTATTACTCAATAACAAAAATTCTCTGCTTAGTGACTTGGCCATCCTTGACTTGTAATAAATAAATAAGTTAAATAAATAATTTAAACTAGACTTAAATTATTATTTGGTTGCATGCTCGCTGAGGCTGAGGTAAGTGTGAGTCCTGGCCACCTCGCTACCAACTCGTCCTGCATCAGTTATCCTGGCCCATTCGAACTACCACCGTCTACCACTCCTTCTCCAGCCACACGGGCTGCTGGGTGTGCGAGTGCGAGTAGACCACGGGCACTGGCGCCTGGACGGGAACGGGTGCGGCGGCATAGGCGGCGGCTGCCTGGACGGGCAGGGCTCGGGACAACATCTGGCCGATGGCCAGCACCAGCAGGATGACGCCCACGCCCAGGCCCTTGATGGAGACCACGGTCAAGGCCGCCAGCAGGGTGGTGATCACGCCCACGACGAAGGCGCCGGGCACCAGAGCAAAGCTGATGCGCCGCAGGAAATGGTGGCCAAAAGTACGACTTTCTGGGGGGTGAACGAATCGGTTAACTTCATAAACAAATAAATGTCTAACGATTTGCTTGATTGGTAGATCAAAATTATATTATACTTTGCAAAGATTTCACCAATGTTTTCTATTTAATTAGTAATTTACAAATTTATATTGTAAAAAGATAAGATTAGACTACGTTTTATGAACAGATCATCAATATTTCAATTAAATACAAATTAGAACAGAAAAATAAACTGCAAGTTTGGTTTTAATAGGTGTGCCTTTAAAAAAAACTATTGTTTAATTTCTGTGACAACTTTTTTTTGGGTGCACCAATTAGTTAAATGTATTTAGGCAAACACATTTGATGCTTTTAGTGCCTGGAAGGCAAAGTTAAGTGAGGACAAGAACATTTTTAAATGATTTAATACACATTTAGTTTTGTTATTTACCACGAAGTTAACTTTGTAGCATTTAAAAATGTTTTTTCTAGGATATTCCCATACAGAAACTAATCGATTTTAGTCCAAAACTAAGAGCAGGATATTGGAATTGTTTGGTGCACTAACCCGCCACATCCGAATCCGCATCCGAGCTGTTGGCCGCCGGCTGCTGACCCAGCACCAAGTCACAGGCCAAAAACAGGCACACGAGGGCAAACACAATCTTCTGGTTGGCGGCCATTTCGAGTTGATTCGATGATCGTTGGTTCCTTGGGCTTGAGTATCTGGTAATCCGATTGACACTGCACTGCTCGACTCCGGCACTGGCTAACAATTGAATGGAGGGCTCACATTGACATTGGCTTTTATCGACGAGGGTCTGGGCCGTCGCACTGGGCGGCTACTTGAAATTCGGCAGCCGGACATTGCGCAGCCGCAGCGTAGCACGAACGTGCGCCAAAACAAGCAAATCGTGCCGCTGCCATACGACTCAGACTGCCCCCGACTCAAAGATGCCGTTACACTCAGAAAAATGTAATTAAAAATAAGTAAAAAGAACTCTAACATAGTTTGCACTAAAACCAAAAATGGCTTTGTAGGAAAAGTATAAGAAAATAATTAAAAAAAATAATTTTTAACTTGCCAAATCAAACAATTGCTTCAGAAGTTATAAAAAAGTTAAAATCATATATAATCAGTGTTAAGTGTTTTCCACAACAGATGACGCATTTGACTTTGTGGTTAATATAATTGCTGGCGCCATCTGCTGGACGCTAAAATTGACTAATAGAGTAAAATTTAGCTGAAATTCAGACTATAGTGTTCCTCCTTTTTAATGTTTTCTGTTTCTTCCTTTTCACTAAAAAATTTAATTATTTTTCCCAGTGCATTTCTTTGAATATGCATGCAGACTGTCATTATTTTCACTACTAACCAAGAGCCCTTTTTCGGGCCCAACGCATTTGGGGGTGTGCTGCATAGGAACATGGACATGGAACTTGGACATGGGCATTCTTTCACGACGCGTGTCTATATTGAGGGCAGCACCCAAGTCGTCTTCGACTTCTCATCGGCGATCGATTCGCTTTCATTTTTCGTCGCTGCCCGATAATGATTTATCAGCTAATTAACAATGAGGTACTGCATTTTAATGTATAATCTATACCCGTGCTTAACAACGGCAACTATGTTTCACTCTATTGACTGAGTAACGGATTTTCATTGTTGAATGCTTGGCATACCACGCCCTCGGCATTGCAATTCACTTTCATTAACGGAAATAAATAAAAATGCAAATTTTAAGCGGGTCTGCGGCCCGAGTATTTATGCAAATGTATTTAAAGAGCTTTCCCATTTTCCTTAGTTTTTATTTTTATAAAATTACTTTTATTAAAAAAATTGGCAATTGGTTTGGTTAAAGCTATGATTTGTATGTATTTATAATTAAAAAGTATTATTTTAAACGTTATTTGTGAAAATTAGGATTCTGTTAGTGACTAAGCAATTACGTGGCGTACATATTTTCTTGCACATTGTTTGCTGTGTTTTGGCCATTTCTTGGAATGGATTAGCTGAGTTTTTATTGACAAAAGATAAGATTACCTAGGGTGTTCCACTTGTTATCGAACCGTGGCATTGTGGAAATACAACACGGCTGTATCGTCCATGTTATTAGGGAAATAAAACCATGGCTACTGCGCTCAATCCGCATACGAAATTTCCCTATTGCGAATTGGAGTATTTGTTGGCTAATTGTGTGAAAGTAAATTAGGAGACCAAATACGTAAAGCGGATTTTTCGCCACGGCCATCGGATAGAATTTACTTTCTACTCTGGATTTCCAGAGTGATCTGCCGATCTGGCGACCTGCCGCCTGCGCCAGTTTTGTCAACAACTTTCCCATGCGATGGTCGTCAGCGGTAGCGTTAATTGGAGGCGTCTGAAGTCGTGGGGTACAGAATGGAGTCGGGAACCGTTAGCAGGCTACTTAGAGAGGCAGCGTTATTTATGGCCATGCCAATGCCAGTGCCAATGCCAGTGCCATAGATGATGATGAGCACAGGTGGTCGCGGGGTCCAGGGGCAATTAAAGCTAAAAGAAATCAATGAGCGAGTTCACTGAGAAATTGCAGGCCTACTCCAGATATTTTTTTTCCTCTAACACAGACATCGGCTGGACTGGCAATTTAATTGAAGAGGATCCAGCACAAGAATCGTGTTCTAGCGGCGGCAACACGCGCAACAGGTTGCCGATGCAGCGGCAACTCATTCAGTTGACTGTGCTCAATTCCGATGCCAATTCCAGCCTCAGAATGCAGCCATCTCTGCCGCTTCTCTGTCTCTGTCGCTTGTGCACCGTTTCAGCTTTCTTCGGAGTTGATAAAACGCTTGGCCACCGCCGATCGTGCCACATTTTGCATCTGACCACTGCAGCGCCCAGATGCACCACTCAGATGCACCAGAGATGAGCGGCCTGTGGAGATTCCTTTTACTGATCGTCGTGATCTGCGCCTCGGTGGCCTTTGGCCAGGACAGCGCTGATCGGGAGACGTCCACCGTCAGCCAAGAGGCCGCTCGAGGATTGGCCAGCAGCTATGAGCCGGAGGACAAGCAGGCGCTGCGCAAGAACTCGCACATCTTCATGGGCATCTACAAGAACTACAAGAGCACCTATCTGGGCAACAAGACGACCAGTGAGTACAAGAAGCGACTGCGGGATCGCGTGAGTGCTCCACCAGTGTCGGAGAATGAGGCGCCCGAGGCGGCGGTTCCCGAGCAGTTGGAGCCCCGGGATCCACTGACGCAGGAGATCCGCCAGGATGGCCAGGCGGAGGCACTGATGGAGGCCCACACGGAGTCCCACACGGAGTCCATCGTCGACGAGGACAGTGAATCGCTGGCTGGGAAAAAGCGGCGCAAACGCAAGCGCAAGGATCGCAACAAGCGGCGGGAAACCGAGACGGAATCTGAGACGGAACAGCCCGATCCTTCAGCGGAAAACGAGAGCATGCAGCGGTACCATGTGGGTCCGGGGCTGAATGTCAGTCTGGACCTGAGCAACGACATTGTGCACGTGAAGCTGGACGGCGAGAATCTCAAGGAGATCATCGGAGCTCGCTGGCTAACCCTAGACAACAGCGAAGAAGGTGGGCTTCTACCTCGTAAACTTGATTGAAATAAAATTAACTTATCTCTTTAAATCGTTACTAGGTCGCGGTAAGAAGTACGACATGATCACCAAGGTCTTGCCACTCTTCATCCTCCCCTTCCTCATCCAATCGGCCATTGTCCCGTTTTTGGTCACCAAGCTGAAGCTGCTGCTGGTCAAATCCATTCTGGTGGGCAAGCTGGCCATTTTCCTGCTGATCATCTCGGCCATCAAGAATGGCAACAAGATGGTCCAGAGCTACGAGGTGCCCTCCTACTGGGCCGGCGAGCCCAGTCGGCGGTCCGAGCTGGCCGCCGCTGCCTCCTCGGCGGCCGCCGCCTACAATGGCTACCGGGTCGAGGGCAAACCGACCACCTGGATCAGCTAGACCCTCCCACTCCATACCACATTGCTGTAAGATTCGGTTCTAGGCTTTTAGTGCTTCCAAATAAACATATACAGAAATCGGGTTGACAAGCTGCCTTTTCAATTGGGTCGAACTTAAGTTAAACATTTATGATCTTACATACATTTTAAGATAGCTTTCTGTTCCATATTTCATTCCAAACTTCGTGTTTTATATAATAATTACATAATAGCGTAATGTATCAAAATATTATTTTACTCAATTGGAATATTTTCCGCTTTTATTCTTATCCATTGCGGGTTTAGTTGTTTTAAACATTAAAACATTACAATGTTTTAACCTTTTTTATTTGACTTATTGATTGATTTAAATATCTCAAATTAAATTTAACACATTTAATTTAAATGCAATGAATTTAAATCAAATAGAAACCAAGTTAAATTAAAATATATAATTTAACTTGGTTTCTTTTTCCACAACATTAATATATTTCCAATTAATATATATTTAATATAATATTTGAATACTATATCGTTCAATTTTAAAGCCATTGCATTAAATTTATAATTTTATATTTGTACCATTTCATTTAACTGGTCTAAAATTAAAACCTTCAACTTGAGAGAGAGAAATTTTTGTGAATGAAATTCTGAAAGACTTCCGTAATCTTTCAATAAACACCTGCAGCGAAAATGATGATATAATGGCTGGTGTAGACTCCATAAATTACCAAAAGACCCATAAAATCGAGGAAAAGTGATTGCAAAACTTTATATGTAGGTATATGATAAATTACGTATTTATTGATAGCATTTGTTGTGGCAATAAATTAGCGTTGGGAACAAATAAATTAACTTAAACTAGGGTAAAGTATTTTCCAATGGGGCTCGACCAGCGCCCCAGTCGAGGACTCGATCCCAACTTTAGGGTTCAGTAGCAGGAGTACTGCCGTTCCAGCTGGACGCACACGTCGCACTGGAGTCGGAATCCCCAGACCAGCTTGCAGTTGCACCTCCGCTCCGATCGGACATGCTGGGATCTGACGCGGTAGCCACAGACGCGGCACAGTTGCTGACAGGAGAGGCGCTCCTCGAGCGAACCACTGCCGTCCTTGGAGCACTGGCGACCCCGGGTGCCCTTCCACAGTCCCCGTGCCTCGGGCTCGCAGTAGTTGGGCGAGTCCTGCATGAAGACGAGCGAGTCCAGGGGTATGTTGTCCCACATGATCTTCAGGTTGCTGCTGCTGGCACTGTCCAGCTGAATGGCATCGTCGTACATCTGGAGGAGTTCCTGGGCAATGCTCTCGAACGGCTTCAGCACAGCCACGCACTCCTCCTCCAGGCACTTGCCCTGCCCCGCTCCACCGGGCTGCCTGCACCGGCATTCCTGCTCCAGGGAATTCTGCAGCAGAGACCCCACCACCCGTCGATTGTGACCGCTGGCTCCGGATGCCGGTCCAAAGTGCTTCTCGTACTGTTCCACGGCTTTTGCCGGCTCATGGGCACAGGGCACATTCAGGGCATTCTCAGTGCATCCACAACCGGCGATGACGCCATTCGCGCAATCCTTGGTCAGGGTGTGGACAATGGCCGCCATGGCAATGACCGCCACATAGACATCCTCCCGATCCGGCGATGCCTCCTGCGGCTTTGAGTGCCGCTCCACGAAATCCGCACTTGGGCAGTTCCAGCGCTGCCACTGGAAACTTTGCTGGCAGCTGTCGAGCGCCTGCTTCAGACCCTTGTCGCTGATGTCCTCCCAGGACAGTGGGGCCTGGAACTGGGTGTACTGGTAGTAGTTCATGGGCTCCAGGACACCGGCCAAAGTCTGTGTAACAGCCAGTAACAAAGTGATGGCGAAGAGCATGATGTATAGTGTTATCTCTGTGACGTCGTTGCTTCGAATGAATGATGAGAAAGCTAGGCAGCAACCTTAAATAGTCCCGCCAACCGGCCGATCCGAGCGATCCGGGCGCCCTCCTGGGGCCGGCCCGTGGGAAATTCGGGCCTGGCCAAAAAACCGGAAATTTGACGTTTTCCACTTGGAAATTTTGCATGGGCAGCGGGGTAGGAACTCCCGGCAGCGGACAAATAAACCCACTGGCAGCCCGCGACGCAATTGCGGAGCAGCCCAGTTTCCTGCAGCCCCGTCTACCTGCCCTCGTCCTGGGAGGATCCTCCTCCTCCGCCTCGCGACCGTCGGCAACTTTCCCACGCTTAGGCAGGTAGATATCCAGCGGCGCCCGACGTGCTCATGAATGAAACCCAGCCGATTCCATTCAGTCCGGCCGGATTTCCCCCGACCACCCCGACTGCACAACAACATCGATGTCCGATGTCGGGTTTGTTTGGGTTTTGGACTGGCCAAGCCAATTATATAACAAAACATATGACAAACAGTGATCCTAATCTGGGAAATTAATTGCGCTTTGTGGTGAGCCGGCGGGAAGAGCCATTGGCCATTGTGGCTGCAGTCAGCCAAAGTTAATACCAAGGATTAGGGCAAATTATGTTGAATAAGTCTACGAATATCCAGATATTGATAAGGGGATTGTTTTTATGCCGCGGAATTTTGTGGGATTTTTTAAAACGAGAATTTATTTATCTGCCTACTAAAGGTATGTAGGCTTAAACTAAAAACATTATGTTAACAAATTTAATTCGATTTTAAAATACAACAATTAAACTTATTTGATATAGGTTACCTTGTAATTTATTATTTACTTTTTGGAAATAAATGTTTATCTTGGGCAAACCACTATTAATTATGTCATTAAAACAATACTTGTCGTTAACCAAGTGGTTTAACATGAATTAGAAATCTAAGATTCAAGTCTAAAGTTTGTAATTAAAAAGAAAAGCCAGAAACCCTGAAAAAAATATATTTACAGTGATAGCTAATCAGCACTTAAAATATACTGTGATACGACTAACGCATTTATTAAATCTAAATCGGCATGTGAACAAAACCTAAGTATATCAAATTTTTATATTATTTTTAATGACCAGTGTATTGAAAATAACAACCAAATTGTTTTATGGAAAACTTCCCATTTCCAGTACGTATCCCACAAAGGTAAAGTCATTATAAGTGCTTCAATTCCAGGCGTTGCGAAAACGTGTGCGGAAATTTGGATGCCGCCTGGGTTTTGGCACAATGAAAATACCGATTCTCTAATTAGGTCGAAAGTCTCGTCTGCACAGCACCGGAAAAGGGTTTTTTAGGACCTAAGCGCCGGGTAAATCGCGAACAGAAAGGGACGGCTCTACCGCAGGTAGTACAAAATTGCTCAATTGGTCGGCGTAAGCCTAAGTGCCGGAGTGCCTGAGTGCCGGAGTGACAGTACACATGTGGGCCTTGACACTGGAAGTTCCTCGGGGCTCAGCGGCCAGCTTGGAATTCCGAGTGGCCGAGGAAAAACGCGCCAGATCTTCGGCATTTTCGAAGTTTAATCAAAGCGCCCTGACAGGGTCCATAAATTCGGTTTCGGCCCATTGTCAGCCGCCCTCGTTGCTGGTGTGTCCCGGCTAATACCTCGATTAGATTAGCAATCGGCCAATTAAGATATAGGGGCCCACTTGAGGGTCTCCCCCACCACTACCTGACATGTCGCACTTTCAGCGGTGAGAACGCTTAGTTTCGCGTTGGACTCCGCCCGTGCTGGATTAACGTGGCCATGATAGTCACCGCCAAGTTGGTAGCCATCGGCCTGAGCCTGGCCCTCACGGCCTTCACCGTGTCCACCATTGTCCTGGCCGTCCAGAAGTCGAACCTAAAGAGCGATCTGCGCGATGCCCAGGAGAAGCTGGACCTCCTCGAAGCGGGATTCACCAGCACGACAGCTCCGACAACCCCAACCACGCCGACTACCGATGTGCCAAGCAGTCTGGAACCCACTGCCTCCCCTGGAAGTACTGCCTCCCCTGGAAGCACTGCCTCCCCTGGAAGCACTGCCTCCCCTGGAAGCACTGCCTCCCCTGGAAGTACTGCATCGCCTGGCACCACTGCTGCGCCGGAGGAGAAAATCGACTACCGACTGCCCGGCCATCTGATACCCAGCCACTACGATCTCTACCTCTTTCCCAATATCGAAACGGGCGAGTTCAGTGGTCAGGAGACCATCACCATTAAGGTTGCAGAGCCCACGGATCGCATAGTACTGCACTCCCTCAACCTGAGCATTTCGAGTGTGTCCCTGACGAACACGGGCAGTGATACCCTGCAGATCCTGGAGAGATCCTTCGATCCCCTCAGGGAGTTCCTCATATTCCAGCTCAACGAACCTCTAGCACTGAACAGGGAAGTGAAGCTGCATCTTGGGTTCGAGGGATCGATGGCCAACAAGATTGTGGGCCTGTACAGTTCGTCGTATGTGAAGGAGGACGAGAGCCGCAAGTGGATAGCCACCTCCAAGTTTGAGCCTACCTACGCCCGCCAGGCGTTCCCCTGCTTCGATGAGCCGGCTTTGAAGGCTGAGTTCACCATTACCCTGGTGCATGCGTCCGGGGAGGACTACCATGCCCTGTCCAACATGAACGTGGCATCGAGCGTCAACCAGGGCGCCTACCAGGAGGTCACCTTCGCCAAGAGCGTGCCCATGAGCACCTACCTGGCCTGCTTCATCGTCTCCGACTTTACCGCCAAGCAGGTGGCCATCGACACCAAGGGCATTGGCGAGTCCTTCACCATGAGCGTCTACGCCACTCCGGAGCAGCTGGACAAGGTGGACCTGGCCGTCGACATTGGCAAGGGCGTCATCGAGTACTACATCGACTACTTCCAAATCGCCTACCCGCTGCCCAAGCTGGACATGGCCGCCATCCCGGACTTCGTCTCCGGCGCCATGGAGCACTGGGGACTGGTCACCTACCGCGAAACATCGCTCCTGTACGACGCGGAGACCAGTTCGGCGACCAACAAGCAGCGCATCGCCAGCGTAATTGCCCACGAGTTCGCTCACATGTGGTTCGGAAACTTGGGTGAGTTCAATTAATAACCTTTTGAGTGATGGGAGATATACAATTGGTTTTAAAAAAGTCAAGGAATTTTAATATTTGTTTTAAACACAACAACAAACACAACAAACAAAACAGAGATAGATATAGGGAGTAGGGTTAAGTCGTTAAAGAAAAGGTAAATGTTTTTACATTTTTAATTACAATATATATTTATATACCAATGGTAAATCATGTGTCATACTATAAGTACGAGCAATAAATATAGTACGACAACGAGTTGAATTACTCTGGATCATCTGGGAAAAAAGTAGACTTGCGGTGCCATCCATAACTCGGTACTGAATCATTCCAAATCTAAAAATCAAAATTATATGGTTAAATAATCTAAAATTTTTAACTTTATAAGAACACTTTCGTTATTAGCGAACAAAATCTGCTACATTTTTATTTTAATACAATCGGCGCAGTAGTTTAATGTGTAAAACGTGGGTTGTGGGAAAAACGGCTTAACGTTTTGGGCATTAGTACACTAGTGCTTGTGAACAGATACAAAACTTGCAATACCTTCGTAAATTCCGCTACAATCGACTTGAAATTTACAGACAACGTTCTTGAAAAATTTTGCAATAAAAGAAATATTTAAAAAAACACTTCTAGCCCCTTTAAATATGAGAGTCAAGAAAAAGTGTTCATATACCAAGTGTGAGTTTTTTTTATTAAAGCTCTAAAATTTTTAAAATTTATTACATTTTAAAAGAGTCATTAATCAACTTTTAAACGATAACTTTAATAAACCAATATGAGTGCTGTATTAACACGAAACTAATTCTCATTTTAGTTACAATGAACTGGTGGAATGATCTCTGGCTAAACGAAGGTTTCGCCAGCTTCATCGAGTACCTCGGCGTGGATGCCGTCTACCCAGAATGGCAAATGGCAAGTGCTTCAGAGAGACCCAAGAAAACCCCATCTTATATGCAATTCTTCACCTCCTCAGCGGGATCAATTCATTGTGAGCACTCTGCACGGCGTACTCACCTTGGACGGAACCCTGGGCTCCCACCCGATCATCCAGACCGTGGAGAATCCCGACCAGATCACGTTGATCTTCGACACCATCACCTACTCGAAGGGCTCCTCCCTGGTGCGCATGCTGGAGGACTTCCTGGGGGAGACCACCTTCCGCCAGGCGGTGACCAACTACCTGAACGAGTACAAGTACTCCACGGCGCAAACGGGCAACTTCTTTGCGGAGATCGACAAACTGGAACTGGGCTACAATGTCACGGACGTCATGCTGACATGGACGGTGCAGGTAATTCCACAGAAGTGCCACGAAATTGGCGAATATTTGTGAACCCGATTTGCATTATTCTACTTCGCAGATGGGTCTGCCGGTGGTCACGATCGAGAAGGTATCCGCCACTGAATACAAATTGACGCAGAAGCGCTTCTTGTCCAACCCGAACGACTATGACGCGGCTCACGAGCCCTCGGAATTCAAGTGAGTGAGCAGAACTTATTGCCTGGTCGGTATCTGATCGCGAGTTTCGCACATACATTATCCGTTTAGCTACCGCTGGTCGATCCCCATCACTTATACCACCAGTGAGCATCCGCAGGTGCAACGGCAGTGGTTCAATCACGGCCAGAGCGAAAGTAAGTGAGGCCATCTGTATGCAGGGCCACAGCTTCTCCAGATTACTGATCTCTGTGTGTGTGTGTTTTATTTTTATGTTTTTGGCAGTCACTGTGACCCTCCCAGCTGCCGTCCAGTGGATCAAGTTTAACTCCGATCAGGTGGGCTACTATCGGGTGAACTACGAGACCGAACTGTGGACCGCTCTGGCCGACCAACTGGTGGCCGAGCCGAACACCTTCAGCGCCGGTGACCGCGCCTCCCTGCTCAACGATGCCTTTGCCCTGGCCGACTCCACCCAGCTGCCCTATGCGACGGCCTTCGAGCTGACCAGGTACCTGGCCAAGGAGTCCGACTACGTGCCCTGGAGCGTGGCCGCCTCCCGACTCACTTCGCTGAAGCGAACGCTCTACTACACCAGCAGCTATGCCAAGTATAAGAAGTATGCCACCGCCCTGATCGAGCCCATTTACAAGGCGCTCACCTGGACGGTGGGCGAGGATCACTTGAATAAGTGAGTGCTGATCCACCTAGCTCTATATATATATATATTTATATATATATATATTAACTCATTTAATCAACAGTCGCCTGCGTGTCACCGCCTTGAGTGCCGCCTGTTCGTTGGGTCTGGAGTCCTGCCTCTCGGAGGCCGGCGAGCAGTTCAGCACCTGGCTGGCCAATCCCGAGGATCGGCCCAAGGCCGATGTGCGCGAGACGGTCTACTACTATGGCCTGCTCTCTGTGGGCGACCAGGAGGTCTGGGATGCCGTGTGGCAGCTCTTCGTGACGGAGGCCGATGCCAGCGAGAAGTCCAAACTGATGTATGGCCTGTCCGCCGTGCAAACTCCATGGTTACTGCAGCGCTACATTGATCTCGCGTGGAACGAGGAGTACGTGAGGGGCCAGGACTACTTCACCTGTTTGTCCTACATCGCGGCGAATCCTGTGGGCGAGTCCTTGGTCTGGGACTATGTCCGCGAGAACTGGCAGCGGTTGGTGGATCGATTTGGTCTAAACGAACGCTATCTGGGCAACCTGATACCCTCGATCACGGCCCGCTTTAGCACTCAGACCAAGCTGGAGGAGATGGAGCAGTTCTTTGCCAAGTATCCGGAGGCAGGAGCCGGCACAGCTGCCCGCGTGAGGGCTCTGGAGACGGTCAAGAACAACATCGTGTGGCTGGCCGAGAATCTGGAGGGCGTGGACGCCTGGCTGGATAAGCAGCAACTGTAGAAAAGTCCGAGGAGGAATCGCGTATCGCGTTTAATTTGTACTCATCTAATTGCCACTATAAAGCAAAAATATGCCAAACAAGTGGAAATAAAGATTAGCTGGCATGGGAAATTACAGCTATATAAATAAGCAATTATCCATCGGACTGATTGCCTCGATTTGATAACATGGGTTTTCGGGGGGCTGTGACTAATGGAAACGAACTGATTTGATTGACATTTATTGCAGGCTCAAATGTCCGTCCTTAAATTTACAAGCATTGGAAATATACTTGATATATGATGAAGCCCCAAAAAAATATTATTTAATGTCAGAATAAAAAATGTTGCTTAAAAAGATAAGACATGAAAGCTTACGTAATGTACTTATTACCAAAAATATAAGTCAATTTTAACAAAATACTCAGAGCCTCATCGCGATTATCAAAATTTAAAAAAATATACAGCTATTTAATATTGTTTTCTTAAGATCACTGAACAAAAACGGTGTTTTTAAATTGGAAAATTTTGTGCACGCGTTTTATATATTAATTCATTTTTTTCTTAAAAATTAATGGGCCACATTTAGGTATAATATTTTAGAAAAATAGCAATTTAAGAAATAAGTCAGATATTAAAAACATTTTTATTGTGTTCTGTTATTATTTAATGGTTATTGTCCATAGAAGTTTGAATTTATTTTATAGAGTTTTAATTTTCTTTAAATAAAGAAACAATATAACAAGTTTTTAACCAAATTTTGAAAAATAAGGTAAATTAAAACAACGGTTGTTCTTATCTTAAAGGTATTGTTTTGATCACTTTAAATTTTCCCCAGTGATCCGAAGCGAAATGAATTGCAAGGGTTAATTTGTTTTTGAGAAATGAGAAGTGTGAGATTGGCTATAATAAAGTGTTTAAACTAAAAGCCAGGCGAGTTAATACGATAGAGGCCCAAGATCTCTGGGCTTTACCCTATCGCCCGGTTGACCGTAATCGCGTTTATTTGGCCAATCTTTATCGCATTTGGTTGGACGAACATAAACCGATTCGAGGGCCCCAATCGATTGGAGCCGAATGGTGGGCAGCCAGGGGATAGTGTGGAGCCATTGACTAACGCGCTAGTTAGTCGCTCGCGATACGTGCGATTGCAAAGATGTTCGTGTCGGGCTATTGGCTGCAGGTGGTGCTCTTCTGGGCGTTGGTGGCCTTGGCCACGGCCAACGTGGTGGTGGAGAAGGACCTAAAGGATGTGCAGGACAAGATTGACATTTTCCGGACGAAGCGTGAAGATACGGTACGTCGAAGTGTGCTAATCAGCTGAACTTGATTACCCAAGATTGATACCTTGATACCCTGCAGATTGATTACCGCCTGCCCACGGCTCTGGTGCCCACGCACTACGAACTCTACTGGCATCCGGATCTGGAGACGGGCCACTTCACGGGCCAGCTGAAGATCAGAATCAAGGTGGTGGAGGCCACCAACCAGATCATCTTGCACTCCTATCTCTTGGACATCACAAATGTTTATGTGCTGAACCGCGAGGTGGAGAAGTTCGAACTGGAGGATGAGCGCCAGTTGCTGATCATCACGCTGACGGAGGAACTGCCAGTGGATGCTTCTATTACACTGGGCATCCTTTTCAACGGACAGATGAAGGACAAGCTGGTGGGTCTGTACAGCAGTACGTACCAAAGTGAGGCGGGTGCTACAAGGTAATCTTTTTAATTTGTTTGCCTAAAAGTATGCACTTGGCTTACTAGTTAACTACTTCTACTTGATGCCTAAACTCAAATGTAACATTCTTTCTTTGCAGAACCATTTCCACTACGAAATTCGAGCCCACCTATGCCCGCCAGGCATTCCCTTGCTTCGATGAGCCAGCACTGAAGGCCACCTTTGCCATCACAGTGGTGCATCCCAGCGGTGCCTACCATGCCGTTTCCAACATGCAGCAAACTGTGAGTACAATAATTAGATTAAATTAGATAAAAAAAAAACCTTTGAAAAAAAACCCATTACAAACCAATCAGGAATCCATCTACTTGGGCGACTACACGGAGGCCATCTTCGAGACGAGCGTGTCGATGAGCACCTACTTGGTGTGCATCATTGTGTCCGACTTCGCCTCCAAGTCCACCACAGTTAAGGCCAATGGCATTGGCGAGGACTTCTCCATGCAGGCCTATGCCACCTCCCACCAGGTGGACAAAATCGACTTTGCCCTCGAGTTCGGAAAAGCTGTCACCGAGTACTACATCCAGTACTACAAGGTGCCCTATCCGCTAACCAAACTGGACATGGCCGCCATCCCCGACTTCGCCTCGAATGCAATGGAGCACTGGGGACTGGTCACCTACAGGGAGACGGCGCTGCTGTACGACGATAGCTATAGTTCCACGGCGAACAAACAGTCGATTGCCGGCACCCTGGCCCACGAGATTGTGCACCAGTGGTTCGGAAACCTGGTCACCATGAAGTGGTGGAACGACATCTGGCTGAACGAGGGATTCGCCCGCTTCATGCAGTACAAGGGAGTCAACGCCGTCCACTCGGACTGGGGAATGGTAAGGGATTACTGGCCAGAAGCCACTTAAATACTCAACCCTGTCTCTGTTCAGCTGGAGCAGTTCCAAATCCTGGCCCTGCAGCCCGTTCTGGTGTACGATGCCAAGCTCTCCTCCCACCCGATTGTGCAGAAGGTAGAGACTCCCGACGAGATCACCGCCATCTTCGACACAATTAGCTACGAAAAGGGCGGATCCGTGATCCGCATGCTGGAGACCCTCGTGGGGGCCGACAAATTCGAGGAGGCGGTGACCAACTACCTGGTGAAGTACCAGTTCAGCAACACGGAGACCGACGACTTCCTCAGCGAGGTGGACGCCCTGGTGGCCGACCTGGACGTCAAGAAGCTGATGCTCACCTGGACCGAACAGATGGGATATCCGGTGCTGAATGTTTCCAAGGTGGCCGCCGGTTTCCTGGTCACCCAGCAGCGATTCCTCTCCAATCCGGCCAGTTACGAGGAGGCTCCGGCAGACAGTGCCTACGGCTACAGGTGGAGTGTTCCGATCACCTATGTGGGACAGGACGGCTCGGAGGGCAGCGTGATATACGACCACAATGTTGATCAAGTGGGCATTGCCTACAACGAAGATGTGCAGTGGATCAAACTGAATGTCCGCCAGACGGGCTACTACCGTGTCAACTACGATGAGAGCCTGTGGACGCTGCTCATCCAGGAGCTGACCAGCAATCCCAACAGCTTCGACATCGCGGATCGCGCCCACCTCCTGAACGATGCCTTCGCTCTGGCCGATGCCAGCCATCTCTCCTACAGAGTTCCCCTCGAGATGACCGCCTACTTGGCCCAGGAGCGCGACTTCGTGCCCTGGTATGTGGCCGCCAACAAGCTGATCTCGCTCCATCGCAGCCTCATGTTCAGCGAGGGCTACGTGTCCTTCGTCACCTACGCCAGGAGCCTGCTAACCGGAGTCTACGAGGAGGTGGGCTGGACTGTGGACGCCAACAACCATCTGAAAAAGTAAGCATTTTTGCACCTATCTGGTGACTTAACACTTGTAATGTGGTTAGAACTTTTGTACATGTTTTGAAAAATATGCTGCTTTCTTAAAAAGCGTTTGTTTGCATCTTTTATCTCATATTTTTATTAATGTCTGATATGCAAAACAATATTCAGTTAGATATTGGAATTATAAAAAAAAACCTTCCCAGAGTAAAGATTTTTAAAGATTTTTTAACAAGTTTAGAGAAGTCCACATTTTCCCTTCCCGAGAAACTAAAAATTATTTCTGTATCAGCAGAATTTTCTTTATTTAGAGCATAGTAAAATAAGAAGCATCAGTTTGGTAAATTTATAACTAAAGTATTTTTGCATTAAAATATTTAGTAAATTTCTAAAATTGTGCGACTTTCAGAACACATTTCCTTAATTTCTTAAATTAAGGGAACATGTCCTAAGATTCCTAAGTATACATGGTAGGCCATCAATTTTGCCATGTTAAGGTTATTATTTTTAAAATTAAGAAATTTTTCCCAAAAATTCACTAATGTGAGAAAAATAGGGGAGTCAAGTATCTAAAATTCCAATGAAAATCAGTGATAAAACCTTCTATTTTCCTTTTCAGCCGCCTGAGGGTATCCATTTTGTCGGCAGCCTGTGCTTTGGGTGTGCCTGATTGCTTGGAGCAGGCTGCCCGGCGCTTCAACGCCTTCCTCCAGAACCCGACCAGCCGACCATCGCCCGATCTGCGCGAGATCGTCTACTACTACGGCATGCAGCAGTCCACCAGCCAGGCGAACTGGGAGCAGCTGTTCCAGATCTTCGCGGCCGAAACGGATGCCAGCGAGAAGTTGAAGCTGATGTACGGACTGTCGGGCGTGCAGGACAGCCAGCTGCTCTTCAACTTCCTGGCGCTGGCGGGTGACGAGAGCATAGTCCGCTCGCAGGACTACTCCACCTGTGTGCAGTACATCGCCGCCAATCCCGTGGGAGAACCCGTCACCTGGGAGTTCTACCGCGAGCACTGGCCCCAGCTCTCCGCCCGCTTTGGCCTGAACAACCGCAACTTTGGCCGACTCATCGCCCAGATCACAGCCAACTTCAGGAGCGCCGTGAAGCTGGAGGAGGTGCAGCAGTTCTACATTAAGTACCCGGAGTCCGGAGCCGGAGCCAACTCCCGTTTGGAGGCCGTGGAGACCATCAAGTACAACATCGAGTGGCTGGCCAGAAATCGGGCTGACATCAGCGACTGGCTGAGTGGAACCGCCTCGCCGCTGACCAAGAAAAACCCATTGTAAAACATACTATATGGACCGCGTATAAAAACCGGGCAATTAGCCACTAATTAGAATTGCATAAGAAACCAGCGAAATTTCCGTTCGAGTTCAATAAAATAAAATTCCAAAATCAAACCGTAAATAACACCCAATATTTTCCATTTTATCCGGGCGAATGGCGATGTCTATGGCAGCCAGGAAATGCCGTAGAAAGGGGTTACGGGTATATGGTCAGAATGGAATCATGAATCGTGCGTAATTATCCCCAGACTGTCCAGCCATAAAACTCGATATATGGCCATGTTGTTAACATAAACGTACAAGACCACAAACTAATGGTGCCACATAAACCGTATTTATCTGGTCACGAAGTTTTATAGTATATAGTCTAGATATCGGCCAGCAATCTGGTCAGGGCTGTGAAGTCCAAATTTTAGGGTCAGATTCAAGACTTGCATTCAGTTTCCAATTTGGCTTCCAGCCTAGTGGAAGCAGTCGCCAGTTCTCCGTGAAGAAATAATATCCCCCGAAAATGTTTGCCTGTGAGTTTCGGTGCAAAAGATTCAGAAAGGAATTGAAACTATATGGAGTAAATTGCAGGGGTGACGGTCAAATCGGTGGCCATCTTTTTGGGCCTGGCCTCCACGGCATTTTGCGTTGCCACCATTGTGCTGGCCGTCCAGAATGCGGATCTGGAGAACGATCTGCAGGACGCCCGCGATAAGATCGACGCCCTGACAGTGGACACCACTTCCACCTCCACGACGACCACAACCACAGCAGATCCCAACAAGCCAACGGATGATGGAGGAACCACCTCCCCAGGAGGAGGAACCACCCCAGGAGGAGAAACCTCTCCAGGAGGAGAAACATCTCCAGGAGGAGGAACCTCCCCGGGAGGAGGTACAACTGCCAGTACCGGAACCACTTCCACCAGCGTAAAGCCCATCTACCCCACCCTGCCCACAGGATTGCCCGATCCTGAAAAGGTAAGTGTAGATGTAAGGCTATGAAAATAAGAAAATATTTTTTTAAAATATTTCTTACGCAATATTTGAATTACGGTTTTAAGTGTTTAAATGATTTGAAACTAAGTGCTGCATATTTAAGTTAATAGTTCAGAAAAACACCCTACATCGTATGGGAAAATTTTCGCAACTGGTCAGTGGATGTCATAAAGTCGGCATGGCCACCAATTCGAAATTTATCAAGTTTCCACACAAGTTTATTGGTCATTTCAAGTGCTTATCGTCGGGTTTATTTCTTTTTCTTTTTATCAAAATACGAAAAGTTAGCTTCGGCTGAAACTTGGCTAAATCCATGGCACGATTAAGTTAGTTTAATTGCGGCCAACACAGAGTTCACAGTCAGAAAAATGGGCAACACAAAGGAGAAGCTTAAGGGTATTTATATAATTTGAGAGCAGTCTAAAATTTAGAAATACCTGTTATCCCACTTTAAATAGACTTGATCACCGCTGAACGTTTGGCCATATTCTTTGGCCTACTGTCCACCTGTCTGATTGTAGCCCTCGTAGTTGTGCTCGTCCACAGGGATAATTTGTGGATAGAGTTGGATGAAGCCAAAAGGAAGTTGGATGTGCTGGAGGACTACATTCAAAGCCACTTGCTGGCCACCCTTTCTAATAGATAGATAGATAGATAAATAACAAAAATTAGCCTTTTTTATATTACATACTGTATTTTGAATAATGGCGTAAGAATAATAAAATAATAATGGTGCATATCACATAAATTCACAGCCCCTCAAGGTTGCTTTGTTGCAACGAAGTCCACTTTGTTAACGACCTGACTACAACTTTGGCCGTTTCTATCGCCACCTTATCACCGCATTGCTCACTTTATAGGACCCCAGCTAATTATCGATGTGGTGGATATGTTTAGTAATCTTTACAACTCCCGCAGATCGAATGGCGACTGCCCACGGAGCTGCGGCCCATCAAGTACAAGCTGTACATCCAGCCCGATCTGAAGACGGGCGCCTGCGAGGGAACCGTCTCCATCCAGTTCCAGCTGAACAACGCCACCAACCTGATCGTCCTGCACGCCAAGGACCTCAATGTGCACAGCATCAGCATCCTGAACATGATGGCGCGCATGCGCGTGGCCATCGAAAAGGTCACCACGGACGCCAGCCGCGAGTTGATCTTGATCCAGCTGCGGGAGGTCCTCAGCATGAACAAGGCCTTCACCCTGTCCGCCAGCTTCGATTGCAGCCTTAGCAATCTGGTGGGCAGCTATCTCAGCAGCTACACAAATGCCGAAGGTGTCGAAAAGTAAGTAGCCATTTAAAGTTTTAGTAAAATGATATAAGCGAAAGTCACATGTCTGCTTGTTATTAAGTTTCTCGGTATATTTATTTTAGCTTTATTTTTAAGAAGAACGAATCAGAAAAAATCGAAATTTAAGGCAAATATTCATTGTTTTAGTAAGTCAGTTTTATTCCCTCCATATACATTTGGGAACATATTTTATGCTAAATAACTTTAGTCAGTAAAGTTGCACAAATAACCTTAGGTAATTTTTAAATTTTATTTTACAGGTAGGGATTTTTATATTCTGAGTGTACGTACTGAAGCTCGTTATATATTAATTTATTTATAACAGTTTAAGCTAGCTTTAAAACTCTTTATTTATATACAATATTATGTTAAGGATCAACTTTTTAAATGTACTACATAGACAAATCATTTACTTTCCGTTATAGTCAATGCTCAATTTGCAATTATTCATATTAGTGAGAGTACTACACCCAGAGAAAAACCACATAGCACAATTATTGATTTTGAAAATATAATATGAAAATTGTAGATTTCATTTTTTTTCTAATTTAAAACTAAATTTTTCCATACTTAAAAATAAAAATGAAACTGTAACACACTTTGATTTAAACACAACACCCCTCGAGGCTAAATCAGTATCAAAAATATTTGATTTAAAGTGAAAGTATTAGGGATGACCATGGTATTTTCTCTGGGTGTATACAAAAAACATGATCTTGTCAATTTAAATCTTTTATAAGATGAACAAATTTTCAAATATTTTTAAACCTTATAACAATTATATACCAGTATTTGTTGGGCTATGTACTATTGTGTTGCCCGTGACTGTGTGCTTATCACACAGTCCCCAGCTCAATTAAGAATACCCCCAATGTTGGAGTTTACGGTTTTGTTTGGGGCCATCGGGCCAAAAGCCGGTCTCAGCTGATGAGAGAGCTTTTCGGCGAAGCTCGTGGATCGAAGATCGTGGCCGCTTTGGAGCCGCGCTTCAGTTGGAAGTTTAAAGCCGAGAGCGACGGTCGCAAAAGAGCGGCTCGCGTCTTGAAACACGATCTCAGTTGTCTGCAGTACGATTCTCTATTCCGATCCCCCCTCTCCGCTCTTCTCGTGTTTCTCGTGTGCGCGCTTACGATTTGAATCAAGAATAGATATCATTCCGGCAATTGCCGTTATCAAATTAGACGAGAGAATCTTTTTTTGGACCCGGCAAAGTGACAATTAATGCCAGTCGTACATAAAACGTGACACGAAAAGCTGTGATTTCAACTGTAAATCAAGTAAAAGGCATAGTGCGAAATGCGAAATGCGACAGAAATAATAGATAATAAGTGGCCCAGATCAATCGGATACCGTTGAGTCCGCTCCAAAAGCTCCATTGTCGCCCAGTCCGTTATGCGATCGAGATTCGGGCTTTTTTAGTTGGACGCATTGATGCGATTACTAATTTTAATATTTTTTATTCGCTGAAATGCGACCGGCCACCGGATTCTAAGCCAACTTTGACTTTCAGCAGGCAGTCCGGTAAACAACGAGCCATCGCAAGCTGGCCAAGAGAACTCCACCACGAGGCTAAATCAAACAGGTTGCAGCGCTCCCCCCCCCCCCGCCCCTTTCCCCACCATTTGGCCCGCTGCAAACAGGCTTGGAGCCGAATGCATACATAGTTCACTTGCCGCGCAAGTTCTTGGCCTTAAATCGGCCACTGTCGCTGCACTGCAAAAGCAATTGGGTTAACAATTTTCTATATAACGGGGTGTGGCTTATCTATGGCTGATTTCTGAGTGATCTTTTAAGATAATCCAAATTTATTTTCATCTGTGACCTTACTTGCATTCCGTGATAAATTTGAATTGCACTTTTTTTTCTTTCAAACATTCTTTAACCGGGCTTATCAATCAGACAACTAAGATAACGACTCTCAAATTCCTTATCACATTAATTTTTATTGTCAAATTTTTTTTTAAAGACTGTTTCCTTTGCTTTTTTATTTTTGTTTTTCTTAATTATACATCAGGTATAAAATGAGTTATCTAGAAAAACATGTTTACAACCCTTTAGCTTAAATAATAATAATAATTAATTGCCAAACTAATGAATGGATAAACATTATTAAATTTATTTTTCAATTTTACTTTCGAGTTTAAGGTATATAAAAACTTGTTTATGAAAAAGGTGCAAATCACATTGTAGTACTTTTTTTTTTGCTGTGTATAACTGGCTGCTGGCCAAGAAATGCGTCGTGTTTACATCTCCAATGCGGCGGATACTCAATGGCCGCTGAGAAAATACTTTCTTCCAAAAGTCGAAACAAAATGGGTCGACATCATTGACTGCCAAACAACTTGTTGTCGTAGTATAGTCTTTTTCTCCACACCGTTTCTCACTGTGTTTTCTCGTTTTGTTTTGTTCTTGAAAGTTCAGCCGAAGCCCGGTGGTCAAACCTTTTTTTCGTTTTCATTGACACTGATTTCTTTTTTGTTCTTCTTGGGCGAAATAGAAATTCCGCTCAAGTGTGGGAAAAAACCTTCGAAAGTGCAAGGTTTTTAATTGGATTTGTATGCTAATAATGTAAATTAATTGCTGTTGGCGGAATTGATAAGGCATTTGACACCTTTTGTGTGGTGTAAATTAAACAATTAGACGCTTTGAAGTTCAATGCCCTTTAAAATTTAATGTTTTAATTAGCTGGGTCTTTGATTTTCTTTATTACGCTTATTGATGTTCTATTTTTAATTGACTTGTTAATTGACAAGTTATTTATTGAAGTGAGTTGCTTATAATTCTAGACCGTAAGCACAAGCGTTGTTTGTTCCTAATATGGATCAACTTGCAGTAAATTATGATCTTTGATTTTGATATTTAATGTATGTATTGGTATATGACTACTTTATTCATAACTATATTTCTGAACTGGGCCTTAGATTTGAAATTAATTGATTAATTTAATTAAATTTCAGACCTTAGGGCATTTAACTATATTCAAATAAAGCTTTCAAGGCTGATGTTTCGTATGCCGATTTCATAGTCTATTTTTGTTTATAGTGATGCAACTCTTTGATTGATAATAAATGTATTTCGCATTCCGTTAACCCCAAACATGCAAATTGAGGCAATCATTTCTTTGTCCACCGATTTGCGCCTTTTTATTGTTTTTATTTTAATTTTTCCTTTGTGAATATCGTAAATTACAGGCACGTATAGACGACCTTTGTCAAGTGTCATCCCATCGCGGGTGTTACAGGCTGTATTTTTTACTACTCTGGGTTTTTATTTTGTATTTTTGGGTGTTTCTGGGGCGCACTTGTCACGTAAAGCGATTTGCATTTTTGCGGCTTTTTCTCCGGCGACTTTGTGTATTGTGAAAGTTATGACCTTAAAAAGCCCGAAGAACGTGTTTCAAATCAAAGCTTTCAATTTCAAATTTCAAAAATTGTATGCAATTGAGCTCTGAAGTAAACAAAACGATGCATTGGAGAAAAATGAATTACTTTTGTTATAGAATATTTGTTTACTTTTTTTCTTTTTTCCAAATTCTCTGAATAACAAAATAATCTTAAGGATTGAACAAATAAAAGTCATGATCCCAATTATCACGGTGCTACCGTTTTGAAATTAAGTACTTTAAATTAACAATACTTTATCCAACTGGATCATTATTTACATAATCATTTTTATTAAACTGCTATATGTTAAAACAGCGAAATGTAAGACATTGTAAGCGTAGTGCCCGTTAAAAGTTTTACTGGTCTTCAAACATCTATTAAAATTTCGTCTGTGTACATTCGACTCGATCATCAAAGAAGTGAAATTTATGCCACTCATTAGCGAAGCATGAGAACTGTTATGTTATGGCTTGTGCCCCCGCGATCATCGCTTCATCGGGCTCAGAATGCGAAGACATCCACGTTTGAGCAATGGGGCGTGTCCGATTGCCTCTTGAAAGTCGGCGATATATACATATAATGCATATACGTACTCTAGAGCCGCTGGCATTGTCTGCAGATCTTCTGGCTCTTTTTTTTCAGCCTCTCATAAGGTAGTAGTCATGCAATTTGGTTGCCGGCGATGTGCGGTGGCTTTGTGCGATGTGCGCTCCCTAATTGAGTCAGCATTACATCATCCGCGGAAGATTCGAGGGGGTGGGCTTTGGGTATCAGAGACAATTGCCTGGCGGCTGGGGAAAAATTAGCATATTCTGCAGTCTCGAATTCCCCATTTCGCACAATTTAAAGTGAATAGGGTTCGGGTGTATGCGAGGTTCCGTGTGATATTGCAGCTGCATCGCATATTGTTCTCTTTTAATATATGCCTTGGTACGATGCCTTAATACTCCTATATCCTGACATAATTGTCAGGGCACAAGCCGTGTACCTTTGCTCTGTGGCCAATTCAATTCATTTCCATTGCTAATAATGGCATCTGCAATTTCTTCCCATCGCTCAAGCTCCGGAGATTTGTGCAACAAAGTCGTTAGTCTGCCCGGTAAATTGTCAGTCAAAAAGCCAACAACCTTTTGTGATCCATCAATCAATTGCACACGGGAAGAAAATTCTTTGCATTTATTTATGATATTAATATTAAATTGATTAATGAAAAATATTTGAAATACGCTGAACTATACTTGTTATCGTAACATTTGGTAACATTAATTGCCATTTAGGAGGTGGTTTGTAAATTTGAAAAAAACCTGTATCTCCTTATTACTTATTTTGACAATCGCCTTTCGTACTAAGTGAATTTTTTCAATCTTATTGTATTGACGTATGCATATAATGTCACTGAGTTGATCAACCTTAAAAAATCAATATTTCATATCGCAATTTGCTGTGAAAAGACGCCTCTGTAGAAAGTGGCCTGTGGTGGCCGTATCATTGCAACAAGCCCGAAGATTCGAATTGCAACTTTGCAACTCTTGCGGTTGGGTAGCCCAGTTCCAACACCAACCAGCAACTAAACTAAAAAACGGCTTCGAGTATTTGTAGTAACAATTTCACGAAATGACCAACTTCATTACGTGACCATTGGCGGGGATTGGGGGACGAAAATTACAGGCATCTGATTGATCTGCAGCGAGACAAAATTGAGGCAATCTCCACCTGGAGATGGAGTGAAATGTGAAATGTGACGGAAGCTGAGCTGCCCCGCCACCTTCTCGCCATAAAAAGGACGGGCAAATAAACCCGGGTTTGTTTATAAGCAGCTCGGAGATTATAAAAACTGATGATGGCAGCGCCGGCGACGCATGTAATTCAGTACGCGGCTTTTTATGATGCTCTCGAGTTACCTCGCCGATGACACAATAGATTGGATGAAGTTGTGGCCTTTTGGGGCAGCCTCAGTTCGTGATAAAACTACAGTTAAAGCGGAGCTTACCGATCGCGGCAGTGACAATTCACAAAAAAAAAAAAAAAAAACCTTTAATAATATTTCCAAGTGATTTACTGTTGTAGAACGACGAGTCATACAGCACCCAAAAAACCAGTGTAAATAGTTATAGCAAAAAAGTTTAAAAAAAATACACAATAAGGTGAAACGAAATCAAAAGTCAGCATGTATGCAGCAAAAAACGTCCGCCCGCGCAGCAGTCTCTCCGCAGACGATAACCACCGGATCAAGGACACCAATCGGCCGCACAAGGCCCCCAGCAACACGATCCTGACCCTGGCGGCCTTCTGCGTCTTCCTGCTCGTCCTCTGCGGCTTCCTGCTGGGCGCCCTCGTCTACGTGGGCAAGAACATAGCCGAGGAACACCAGCGGCAGCAGCAGCAGCAGCCCTCGAACGCCTCCCAGTGGGCCCTCAACTCCACCATACGCACCGTGTACGTGGATCGGGACCAGTTGCTCTCCACGAAGCCCATTCTGAGCGTACTCTCAGGTACGATGGTCCCCTATGGTCGGGAAAATGATCAAAATATATATCAAAATATCAAATATTTGAGTGTATCTGATAATTGCAAGCTCAAAGGTGTATAGAAAGCGGCAGAAAGAACAGACAGTGAGGCAGTAAAAAGTAAGGTGAAAGCTTTTTTTTTAAATATGATGTGACCCTTTATTTGTGTTAGAAAATGAGTAATAATATTTAACTGGGGCTCAAAAGGGAATAATAAAGTTACAGCTTGTTTCACAAAACTTTAATACAGTCAATTGTCTACTAGTCAATTTATGAAGACTCTTTGTCATATAATTTTGAAAAATTATAACACACTTTAAAGGGAATTTTTGAAGAATTAAATAAATAAATATTTTTAAAATTCTGGATAATATAATAATAGAAAATGTATTATTGTATGTATAATCCCAAATTTAAAAATTGAATTTCTTTTTGTTTATATGAATTTAAAACAATATTTTTGTGTAAAAAATCAATCATATTCAATGTTATACAAATCAAGCATATATTTTCATTAAGTGTCAGACTTCAGATTAATGCAAGAAAAATTCATGAGTTACATAAAATCATGTTTGAATTTGGCGCGCAACCTCTGCGGTAAATAATACCAAATGCATTTATCCAAGTTCTAAACCTTTTTTTGTGGTATTTTAAAGTGTGTTTTCTGCATTACAAAGCATATTTTGGAAAAACTGCCACACTGTTCTTAGCTTTTATGAGACTCATATATTATAGGAGATTAAAAGAGACTAATAACTGATAATTTAACCGCATATTAAACGCAGATAATCGCGTTCACACCACACAAGTGCCTGCCAGCAGAAAATCGAGTATTATGGCCACCCTGGCGCCCGCCATCAAAGCCGCGAGCAAGGTGCTCGAGAAACTGGGATTCCGGCTGCCCAAGCAGATAAAGCCCAGCAAGTACCGCCTCCACCTGCGCCCCGATCTCGACCGGAAGAACTTCTCCGGCAACATCAGCATCAGCCTGCAGGTCCTGGAGCCCATCGCCTTCATTCCGGTGCACGTGAAGCAGCTGAACGTGAGCACCGTGGCGGTGCAGCACCTGGACGACTCGGGGTCGCCGCTCAACGAGATCACCCCCTCGCTGACCTTTGCCCACCCGGATTTCGAGTACTGGGTGACCGAGTTCGAGCAGCCCCTCGCGGTGGGTAACTACTCGCTGCGCCTCAGCTTCAACGGATCGCTGACGGACCGCATCACGGGCATGTACCAGAGCTCCTACTTGGACAAGCTGAAGAACCGCTCCAGGTAGCCAGGCTACTAACTAATAACTACTAACTGCTATACCCAATGCCCCCAGCATGCACCCCACTAACCTAGCTTTAAGGAGCTGACTTTGGTCTTCTAATTTAAATTGGTAAAACTAAAATAGCTAACCAATCCAAACTTTAAGGCTACAACCCCAAATCTACTTTTCCGGTTTTTTTAAGTTTTACTTTATGATCACTTTAACGATATAAATGCAAAGATTTTATTTTAGATTAACTAGCGTTTTTAAAGGTTTCATACTGTAGTTTATTTTGTAAGGCTTTTAAAATATTAAATATTTTAAGCTTACGTTACTTATAAGTTAATAGAGATGTTAAAACTATCTGTGAATAGAATCTCCAAACAATATTCCTTCTAATGTTACTACTATATCGTCACGGTCAAAATAATAACACTGAGGCAACTTAAAAATCTTAAACAACATACTTTTTAAGCGCAACCAAATTTTATTTTCTTTTCTGATAAAGCAACCTAATTAAACCCAGCTAAAAAACATAAGTTTAAATTTTTATTAAATGTTATTTATTCTTCCAAATTCTACCTCTTATAAAAAATATCTTAAAAAATGGTTAGCATTTTGAGATATTTATTGCATTGATCTGTTTTTAACATATTATTAAAAATATTTAATTTTCCTTTTTAAAGTTACTTTAGAAATGTTTTTAAAAATTTAATCAACGGTAAATGGACTTAAACAAATTTTTGATTTTTGCTCTTTGAAAAGGGTTAAAAAGTGATAAGATATGTAACATAATCGATAAGGTTTCATGTTTAATCCCACATAAATATACACCACTAACATTGCCCATTGATTCCCTTCCAGATCGATTGTGAGCACCAAGTTCGAGCCCACCTACGCCCGATTGGCCTTCCCCTGCTTCGATGAGCCCGCTCTGAAGGCCCAGTTCACCATCACGGTGGCTCGTCCCAGTGGCGATGAGTACCACGTGCTGTCCAACATGCCGGTGGCCAGTGAGTACGTCGATGGCGATCTCACCGAGGTGACCTTCGCGGAGACCCTGCCCATGAGCACATACCTGGCCGCCTTTGTAGTGTCTGATTTTGCGTACAAGACCACCACGGTGGCGGGTACCAGCATTGAGTTGAGGGTATATGCTCCGCCTGCACAGGTCGAGAAAACGCAGTACGCTTTGGAGACTGGAGCCGGAGTGACGGCCTACTACATCGACTACTTCAACATCTCGTACCCGCTGCCCAAACTGGACATGGTGGCCATACCCGATTTCGTGTCCGGTGCCATGGAGAACTGGGGATTGGTCACCTTCCGGGAGACGGCGCTCCTGTACGACGAGTCCACCAGTTCCAGCGTCAATAAGCAGCGCGTGGCCATCGTGGTGGCGCACGAGCTGGCGCACCAGTGGTTCGGCAACCTGGTGACCATGAACTGGTGGAGCGACCTGTGGCTGAACGAGGGATTCGCCTCCTTTGTGGAGTACAAGGGTGTGAAGCACATGCACCCGGAATGGGACATGGACAACCAGTTTGTGATTGAGGAGCTGCATCCGGTGCTGACCATCGATGCCACCCTGGCCTCCCATCCGATTGTCAAGTCGATTGAGAGCCCTGCCGAGATCACCGAGTACTTCGATACCATCACCTACTCCAAGGGAGCCGCCTTGGTTCGCATGCTGGAGAACCTGGTGGGCGAGCCCAAGCTGAAGAATGCCACCACTCGCTATTTGGTGCGTCACATCTACAGCACTGCCACCACCGAGGATTACCTCACTGCCGTCGAGGAGGAGGAAGGACTCGACTTTGATGTGAAGTAAGTATTGCTTACTTAATGTAAAGATGCCTTCATCAAGCTTTCATTTTCTAATGTAACCTGCAGACAGATCATGCAAACCTGGACGGAGCAGATGGGTCTTCCTGTGGTGGAGGTAGTGAAAAGTGGAAACACCTACAAGCTCACTCAAAAGCGCTTCCTGGCCAATGAGGATGACTACGCAGCGGAGGCTGAACCATCGTCATTCAAGTTAGTCGATTATATATAATTTATACCCTACGTTATAGAATGACATACTTATAAGATTCCTCTTTCAACAGCTACCGTTGGTCGATTCCCATCACCTACACAAGCAGCCTCAGCAGCGAGGTCCAGTCCACGATCTTCAACCACAACGACAACGAGGCCAGCATCACGCTCTCGGGCGATGCCAGCTGGATCAAGTTCAACAAGGATCAGGTGGGCTACTACCGGGTCAACTATGCGGACGAGCAGTGGGCAGCGCTGACCACTGCGCTCAAGGCGTCCCGGGAAACCTTCAGCACCGCCGATCGTGCTCATCTGCTGAACGATGCCAACACTTTGGCCGCTGCCGGACAGCTGAACTACGCCGTGGCTCTCGATCTGAGCACTTACCTGGAGAGCGAGAAGGACTACGTGCCCTGGAGCGTCGGCACCTCCTCTTTGGCAACTCTGAGGAACCGCGTCCACTACACGGATCTGTACAGCAACTTTACCACCTACGCCCGTAAACTGCTTACGCCAATTGTGGAGAGCGTAACCTTTACCGTCGGCACTGATCATCTGCAAAAGTAAGAAAGTTTTATTTACTTTATTTATTGTTTTATTACTTTCTAATATTAAAATGCAAATTAATCAACAGAAATCTCAAAATTTTGGTTGAAAAAGAAAATGTATTGCCCAATAATAATGCTCTACCTATACAAAGTTTTGTGAAACACTTGTTCCCTTTAAATATTGTGAAATTTAAATCATAAAAAAAAGTTATTCCATATTTGTATCTAATAATAATGTTTTATAATACAAACTTTTCCCTCTTAAATTTAAAAATTTAAGTTCCATTCATAAATGTTTTCACTAAGATAGTAAATTTAAATATATATGTAGTAAATTTCATACCCAGAAACCCTACATTTTAAGGCTAAGGCTAATTTAACTTCAACTCACCTTTAATAACCGATTTAAACTTTCAATTGTTTACAGTCGCCTCCGCATCAAGGTGCTGAGCTCCGCCTGCAGTTTGGGACACGAGAGCTCTCTGCAGCAGGCTGTCACGCTGTTCAACCAGTGGCTGGCCAGTCCGGAGACAAGACCCAGTCCGGATATCCGGGACGTGGTCTACTACTACGGCCTGCAGCAGGTGAACACGGAGGCTGCGTGGGATCAGGTGTGGAAGCTGTACGTGGACGAGGCCGATGCCCAGGAGAAGCTGAAGCTGATGAACAGCCTGGCCGCCGTGCAGGTGCCGTGGCTGCTGCAACGGTACATCAACTGGGCCTGGGACGAGAGCAATGTGCGCCGCCAGGACTACTTCACGCTGCTGGGCTACATCTCCTCCAACCCGGTGGGTCAGAGCCTGGTGTGGGACTACGTGCGCGAGAACTGGGAGCAGCTGGTGGAGCGTTTCGGCATCAACGAGCGCACTCTGGGCCGACTGATACCCACGATCACGGCCCGCTTCTCCACGCAGACGAAGCTGGAGGAGATGCAGCAGTTCTTCGCCAAGTATCCCGAGGCGGGAGCCGGAACTGCGGCCCGCCAACAGGCGCTGGAAACGGTGAAGGCCAACATCAAGTGGCTATCGGTGAACAAGGCCCAGGTGGGCGAGTGGTTGGCCAACTATGTCCAACAGTCCGCCGTCACCAATCGCATTCAATGAGTCGACCACTCGGCCATTTGCACCCTGTAAAATACCAATAATGTAAAAACTACCAATGGAATTGAACATAGTCTTAGCTAACTAGTGCAGCAATTGCATTTCAAATGTGAACGAAGAATTGTGAATGCTTATGATATTTTTGAAGAAAATACAAGACAACAAATTTACCCTACCTCCATTTTCTTGAAAATGGGATACTTTTTAATGCTTTTGCTTAGACTTAAAGCAGTTAGGCTTGAACAATGTAATGCAACAAAAAATAGTTTTATTTAGTTAAGGTACATGTGTTAGGTATCGTATCAAGTATCAACCGCCAGCGGTATTGCCTGCAGCTGTGGTGACCCATGGGCACAATGGTGACCGCAGCATGCAAGCGATGAGAAGGAAAGTGGCTTCAGTTGCTGGAGCGCTGAACAACATCAGCGTAGCAACCACAAAGATGGCCATCAGGAAAGTGGAGAACTGCATGGTGACTTGTTTCGGACTATACCTAGCTTTAGATTGAAACGGGCTGCTATTTATACCTGCTTCTAAAGTATTTCTTAGCACTGGCCGAGCAAGTTTGTTTAGATGTTTCTGCAATTGCTTACAAATATTTGCATTAAATGAATGCATTTAAACAATGATATCAAACTATCAACACTTCTACGCAATTATCAGTCAATTTTCCTAGTTTCTACGGCTAAAAAGTATTTCTTAAGAGAAATCAGCCCAAGAATCTATTTAATAAAAATAAATTCATTGGTTAATCATTTAAAGAAAAAATATTTTGAGAAACATCGAATTGTTCGGAAAACGTACGGGTTACCTTAATTTTTATTACAGTAACATATTTAACAATGCACTTTGGATTGGTTACAAATATTGTTTTATGAGAAATTGTCAGATAGCCATTAAAGAAGGCAAAGCTTATTGCAGCTCTAGTATATCAATCGATTCTGCTTCATCTTTTACTATAGATTTAAATATTTATGAACAAACACATGTAACATTAAAGCAAATTTCCTCATATATATATTCTTGATCAGCATGACTAGACGGGTTGATATAGCCATGCCCGTATGTTACTATACCGCTTAAAAGCTATGTGCTTAAAAGTGCCGACAGAAAGAACCTTATAACATAGATTTATTGGCGAATTGTTGAGGTTAATAGCTTGTTAGATTCGTGAATGTTCCAACTCTAAGATAATGTGATAAAATTATTTTCGGTCTTAAGGCGTGTATTTGTTAAGAACTAGTTTATGAGGAAGGATTTTCAGTTTTAGCAATTTATTCAAACTTCGTCGAACGCTAGCATCTATACTGGGAAATGTATGGGAAAGTTAAAGAATGTTCCATTTCTCGTAAAATAAGCTATCGATGACCGCAATTGGTTAGCCGGAACTGGATTTAAAAAATAAAATAGGCATACAAAAGGTGAAAAGCGGAAAAAAGCTAAAAAATGGTACAATAAAAAAAAATTTAGAGTATCGTTTTTTTAAACAATGAGTCCACTTGCACCGGAACTAAATTATTGAGTCTTTCCGTATCGTATCGTATTTTTTTATGATCATGTTAAGAAAATATAACGATCGGAAGACTATATCCTTTAGGTGTCATACGTTTAAACGTTTACAGAATATCCGAAACTCACATTGTAAAACCGATGTCAAAATTTATTCTGTTATTTTTTTAATAAATTTATAAAAATGACAAAAAATATAATTTTGGTATTAATATCAAGGAATTAACAAAAACCATTATCTTATAGTGACAACAGATTAGTCGTTAAAAGGCCTAGTGACAGTTAGCTTTAGCTCGGAAATCACCCAAATAGTTATTCTTATAATCATGCTATATTTTCCTTCCCACTGCTCAAAGAATAAAAACCTTGGGTCGACAGACACCTACGATATGCAAATAAGGCTGGGGGAGGTGCAATAAATATCCTTCTTAAAACTCAGATAGCTGGCACCACCATAAACATTTTAAAGTTTTTTTTGGTTTGATTTATAACAGACAAAGTATAAATGCAGTAATGTAATGCGACAAAAAATAATTTTATTAAGTTGAGGTGCATGTTAAGTATCGTATCAAGGGTGAGCTAAATCGGCAGCAGATCCAATCATGTAACTTTTTTAGGTGTAGCTGTGGTGATCCATGGGCACAATGGTGACCGCAGCATGCAAGCGATGAAAATAATGGTGCCCTCAGTTGCTGGAGCGCTGAACAACAACAGCGTAGTTACCACAAAGATGGCCATCAGGAAAGTGGAGAACTGCATGGTGACTTGTTTCGGACTATACCTACCTTTAGATTGAAACGGGCTGCTATTTATATGTGCTTCCAAAGTACCATAAAACAAAATAACATTTCTTCGCGCTGGCCGATTAAGTTTGCTTAAATGATTCTTTAATTGTTCACAAATATTAACTTAAGTGTACACTGATAAAAAAAATCGAACAGTAAGAACGAACATCTAGATATTGAATTAATAAAGTTGTGTTAAAAAAAACAAGAAAGAAAGCAAACTTCGGCAAGCCGAAGTTCATATACCCTTGCAGCTATTGCATGAATTAAATACTTTTGAAAACATTTAAATTATGATTTACTTGAGTATATACTGAAAAACAGTGAAGCTATGATGATTTGCAGCTCAATTATTAGATAGTTATTTTATATATTTTTATTAGTTCTATGGGAGCTATATGATATAGACGCCCGATTTTGATAAAATTTAAACCATAATTCTGAAATAATTAAACATTGCCATATGTCGAAGAACTAAACAAAAAATTAAAAAACAGAAAAGTTATAATTTTTTTTCATTTATTTCTCCGATTGTTCCTATGGGACCTATATGATATAGTCGTCCGACTTTGATGAAATTTAAACCGTAAATCGAAAATATTTAACCATTACTAAATGTCGAAGAACTAAACAAAAAATTAAAAAACAGCAAAGTTATAATTTTTTTTCATTTATTTTTCCGATTGTTCCTATGGGAGCTATATGCTATAGTCGTCCGATCCGGCTCGTTCCGACTTATATACTACCTGCAATTGAAAGACAGCTTTTGGGAAAGTTTCATGCAGATAGCTTTAAAACTGAGAGACTAGTTTGCATATAAACGGACGGACAGACGGACGGACAGACGGACATGGCTAGATCGACTCGCCTAGTGATGCTGATCAAGAATATATATACTTTATAGGGTCGGAGATGTCTCCTTCACTGCGTTGCAAACTTCTGACTGAAATTATAATACCCTCTGCAAGGGTATAAAAATAATAAAATCACTAACACAACGCATATTGAATTGATTGATTTTAAATGTGTAATAGTTTAATATGGTTCATATTTAAAATAAATATTCAGATAATAACATCAATTCAAAAAAAATGTAACGAAAAATTTTAAAAAATTTAAAAATTTCATTTTTAAAATGAATAAAAGCGCCAGCGAAAAATATATGTTTCGCTGTTTACTAAGGTTCAATTTTTAGCAGTGAAAATTGAATGTTGAAAAAGGCACTTTTTCTACAGTAAGCAGGAAAATGTAGTAAAATTTTAAGTATCTGATTTTACACAATATTTGCTCTTCCTCGGAACCCTTAGCTAATGGAACATAAGTTTGTATGGGATTTTCACTTGGCAGTTCTTTATTATCAATTAATTTAATTTTGTATGTTTCGGATAATTTTATTTAATAATTTCCATTTTGTATAAATATGAACAGTAAAAAAAATCCTGGTTAATTTAAAAACAAAACTAATGGGTTTATATTGTTTTTTATAATTGAATTTTAATTATTTTTAAATGAGCTATGCAAAATGCTTTGTTTAGCGGACAAGTTTCTCCAAATAAATTTATTGAGTGTATTTTTTAATTGTTTCCCCTTATTAAAAACACTTGGAAGCCAAAAGCAAATTTTAATTGGCTTGTAGAATGAAAAGCCTTTTAAATAAATCATCAAATTTTCCAGGTGTTTTGGTGAAGTATTTTTGTTATAAAATTCAAGGTGTATTGCAACAACAAAAACAACCATTTAAAGAATGATAGTTTTAATAAAGGTTAATAACTGTTTTATTAATACTTGTTTTAAAATTTAAAAGTATTAAGCTTGTTTATTGTTTATTTTTGCTTAAACAACTTTTATATTCCTCGATTTTCCAGCTTTAGGCATCTGATCTGTAGACTAGCGTAACAGTTTACAACAAGAAAGGTAGTCGATTTTTTCAGATCTTGTCTGTGACATATATATTAAAAATCTGTATCTCAAAGTATGTGCGTGTATGTTTAAAAACAACATGCCATCGAAGAATAGAAACATGTAACGGAAAAACCATTATTTCAACCTAAAACATAAACGCATAAACTACACAACATTTTTGGTATATTGCAAAGGTATATTAAGTTTGGATTGCCGAAGCTTGCATTTCTTCTTGTTTCTTAGTAAAATTGTAATTTTATTGCTAGGATTAATTTTAAATTATAAATTACTTAACTTAACAATTTATTTTCCTTCAACTTTAAAACTTCCTTTAAGATTTAGAGCAAATTTAATACCGTAGTTCGAAACAAGGTCCCACAGCAAGTGCATACTGACGCCTTCTGGCAAATGTAAAGTGATGGTATCCTTATAGGCGCACAGGTTCCCTGGATGAAAAATGGGGGTTTTTGTCCGCTCCGTTTTCTACCGATCATAAGTCCGTTGCTGGCCCTTATTTGGGATTGATGGTCTTTGGGGTTTTTCTTGGAAGCCTGGTACACGGGCACAATGCCTCCCAGCAGAATGTGAAGGACGTTGGAACCATATATAATCCCTTAAATCAAGCGAGTCAGCTGGCCAGTCTGGAATTTGAGCTAAAAACAAGAAAGGAAGCAAACTTCGGCAATCCGAAGTTTATATACCCTTGCAGCTATTGCAAAAATTAAATATTCTTGAATACATTAAAATTATGAATTTCCCTCTTATATTTAAAAACTTTGCAGCTATGATGAATTGCAGTTCAATTCGATAGTTCTTATGGTGGCTATATGATATCGTTTTCCGTTTAAATAAAAATCAAAGCGTAATTCTAAGCTGTCTGAAATATTTAACCATTACTACATCTCGAAGAACTAAAATAAAATATAAAAAACAGCAACATTATTATGTTTTTTCTTAATGTTTCTGATTTTTTCGTGCAGATAGCTTTAGAACTGAGGGACTAGTTTGCGTAAAAACGGACGAACAGACGGACAATCGGACTTGGCTAGATCGACTCTCCAAGTGATGCTGATCAAGAATATATATACTTTATAGGGTCGGAAATGTCTCCTTCACTGCGTTGCAACTTCTAACTAAAATTATAATACCCTCTGCAAGAGTATAAAAAGCCGATTATTATCAATAATTTAATTAATTTAATTTAATTTAATTTAACCATTTATGATTGCATTTATAAACAGAATTACAGAGTGCATCGTAGTACTAACCGTCGGGACTTAGACTTGCAAAGTGAACAGTTCCAGCTTCTAAGCTTTTCCATAGTGATTGCCTTTTGAAAAAAGTTGATCAGAATGTGCAATGCTAACGACTGCCAAGTTAAACTAAAGGCACGCGCAGTGTGAAATAGGTGAGATGACTTAAGTTAGTTCAATATTTGTTTAACTGTCATTGGGGGTAATGTGCGAAATCTAATTGGCAAATATGTTACATTAGAATACATAAAAACAGCGTATGAGGGAAAATAAAACAAAAGTGCAGTTTTGTATGCGTCATAAACGATAAGTAAATGTTTTTTCAGAAAATAAAATTGTAAAAATATTTATTCTCTGGCTTGTTTGTATTTAAGATATAATTTTTTTAAATAGCAATTTACCTTTAAAAATAATGACTGGCTAATTTAAGCTAATTTACTTCTTTGTAAATCTATGTGAAAAAGAGAAATGATCTGGGTGCCTTACTAGTATTTGTATTATTTAATGGTGGGGTGTATAGGGGTGCAGTGAATCCGACAATGTAACATAAAAAAAACTAAATTCAAGGACAAACGATAGAGATAAGACACAGAAAATTAGAGCTTATAATTGTGTATTTAGCCGTTAGGCCGCAAACTTTCTCTCTTTCAAATATCTACTACTCCCTTTTTGGCATCCTTGAAAAACGAAAGTTCAAAACAATATCTTTGGTGAAAATCGCATCAGCCTGAAAGACAACTCGAGCTTAAGCAGTTCAAAGAGAAACTAACAAGTCTTTCAATTATATTTTATGTGGATTTTTATGGTTCGTTTCTCGGCACACGCACATTATTGGCTTCGATTGTAACTAAATCCGTTGATTGCCTGGTTCTGACCTTGAGCAGAAACTCTGTCCATATTTATGTGTTTATTATCCGGACACGAGGGAAATATTCGATGCATACTTTTTGGCTGGTCGGCTGTTGAAACTGATGAAATTGCGGAACCGGAAATAACTAACGGCGCGCTAGTGTTTGTTTAATTCCGTTTCGGTGTCGTTTTATCGACGGATTTTATGACCGATGCTATAGGGCCAAAAGTGTGGCCAGCAGGAGGACATCAAACTGTGTTTTTGTTGACAGGGCCTGACGCAAACAGGACACTTTCCGAAATTGTTTACGAGTGGAATTGATAACGCTGCGTAACCGATTAGGAGGCCGCTCGAAAGTCAATCAGAATCATCCAAATGGGCCGTGGCCAATACGCAAAAATGACGACGACATGTGTCATGGGGCCACATGTATCTGCATCGATGGCGGCCCATGGGACTGCATAAATTTCGATTCGGCATCGCTGAGTAATCGCCATCATTGGCACAATAAATGACAATATTTTCCAGCAGCAATGGCAGTTCAAGTTGCGCCCCAATAATCTTCTGCCGCCATGGCAACCATTTATCTTTATATGCGAGTGTTTCGCTTTGATTTCGATCATAAATTTCCCGGGTTACGATTTAAGGTTAAATATAAATATCAGTTTGCCGAAATCTTTAAGAACCATTTAGCAGCCACACGCCAACGCCAAGGTCGCACAATCGACTTGTCTGGGCCAACTATTAATGCATTGTACGAGGCCCAATTGAGACAAGATAATGAACATCGGGCCGAATCAAGTAGACGGCCAACTTCTGGAACTGTAACAGCTGCAGGCGTCCAAATTGGCCATCCGACAGGAGTCGGCTACCAATGCAAGCCATCTCATTTGGCCTTTGTCTATGCCCCTGTGTGCCATAAAGTTTGCCCCACCGCCGCACTCGCTCACAAAAGTGTACACTCAAAGAAACCAGTACTGCTTGTTTGACATTGG